AGAGCTTATCTGACACTCAAGCCTGAGCTCTTGACACTACTCCACGCAGCTTCAGGATTAATCATTCACCCAGATACCTGCAAAATCAATCCCAAATCGCCCTTGGCCATGGAGCTGTTCATGGTGTCCTGAACTCTCTCTACCCAACAAGAAGAAAAAAGGGGCTTTAAGGCTTCTGGCTGGAGTGCCACTCTCCCTGAATGAGGCTCACGGGGCGGGGGGCGGGTAGTTGTGTCCTTTGCTTCCACGGTACAACTTAGAGACAACTTTTTTTTCCCTCCCAACAAAACTGTTTGCACTCTGCGCCAGCCATCTCTCCTAGGGCTTCCATCTCAACCGAGCAACAGGTGAAAAAGACGGGGAAGTAAACAACCACAAACCAAGCAAGGATCAAGGGCCTCTGGTTTCTCCCTGCAGCAAAAGCTGCCCCGCACCAGCAACGGAAGATCCAAAGCCCGCGCGCTCCGTATAGCTGTTATCCCAAAGCTCCCCAGCACCGAGGGGGTCCACTCAGGGAGTGAGTTCTCCGCAGAGGCCCAAGCACCACGGCGCTGGTTACTGTTTACGGTTATCACGACATCCCCGGTCCTGCCCCGGGCGCTCCTGAACCTCGAGCCCGGTGACCTCCCTCTCCGGCGCCTGGGGAGGCTGCACCGCCCCAAGGGCTGGAACTCGGATGGCGCCGGTGGGCGCCGGGGGGCGCCGTCTGCACCCCTGCATTCGCCAGTCAGAGCCCAGACGCACTGAAGGGGCAGCCTGAGCTGCAGGACCCGCCCGCCGGCTCGGAGGGTCCACGGGGGCCCGACCCGAGGTTGAGGCAGCCCCGGGGATCCCGCACCAGAGGCCGCCCCCGGAGCCCGACGGCGCCTTCCCGGGGCCCGAGGTCTCCCTCCCGAGCTCCTTTCTCCTCGGGCCCGCCCCGCTGCCCTCACCTCAGCCCGGTCCCCCGCAGGCCGCTCGCCGCCACCACCGCTGCCGCCCGGCCTCCCCGGATCCACAGCAACCCTCAGCCCCAGGCCGGAAGCGGGAAGCCGCGCGCGCGAGCTGCGCGTGCGTGTCCCCGCCCTGAGGGCGGGTCAGAGGGCGTGGCCAGGAGGGGGCGTGGCCGCGGGTCTGCGGGTCCGGGGAACTGTGGGCTGTTTCTAGCTGACCCTGCGGGAGGGGTCGGGAGAGGATCTCCTCCCGGCCTTGTGGGGGACCCGTGGACTTAGCCGGGAGGGTCCCTGCGGAGGGGGTGAGGGCGATCCTCGGGGGCGGGTCAGCGGGGATGGGGGGCGTCTTGAGGGAATCAGGGGGGCTTGGAGCGGGGGATCAGCGGGCGCCTGGGCGTGGCTAGGGGGATTGAGCCTGGGGCGAGAAGTCTGAGGGCAGCGTGCAGGCGATGGCGAAAACAGGCCCGTCGCCTGAGAAGAAGGGGCTGTGCAGGTTATAGGAAGCTAGACAGATCAGCCATACTCCTCTCAGGTGGCCCCAGACAGCCCAACGTGGGTACCAGATACCCCTGACACATGCTAGACACCCAGGCGGGTGCCATCAGATACTCAAAACATGCTTTCGGGTACCCTCGAAAAGGTCAGATTAGGACATTCGTCTGGATCTGTCAGTTACCCTGAAGTGTTCAGAATCTGAAAAACATGCCAAAATACCCCAAAGTACCAGACGCCTTCACCCAGGAGCCATCAGATACCCCCAGATAGAAACATATCAGAGACCCTACTCGGAAACCTTTACATAGTCCCCCAAAACACACACTAGATACCCCCAATACAGATATTGTCAGATACCCCCACACAGGTATTCAGAGTCTAAAATACATGCCAGACCATCCCCCAAACAGGTGTTTTCCGACATGCCAGATGCCTCCCCCATTGCTGCCACCCCCTCAGGTGCCACCAGATTTCCCAGCTCTGAGGCTGCTTGTTCCAACCCGGGTTGGCCACTGGTGAGACCGTTGGGCAGTGCCCAGTAGAGGAGCCAAACACCTCTTTCACCAGATTCAAGTCGACCAGGCCGAGATCTGTCCAAGCCAGACTCACTTCAAAACACCCACAATCTGGGGCGCCTGGGTGGCTCAGTGGGTTAAGCCACTGCCTTCGGCTCAGGTCATGATCTCCGAGTCCTGGGATAGAGCCCCGCATCGGGCTCTCTGCTCAGCAAGGAGCCTGCTTCCTCCTCTCTATCTGCCTGCCTCTCTGCCTGCTTGTGGTCTCTCTCAGTCAAATAAATAAATAAAATCTAAAAAACAAAAAACAAAACAAAACAAAAAAAAACCCACCCACAATCTGTGGCCGAGAGCCCTCACTTCAGAAACCGGATGGCAGAGTCCCCAGGAACCTGCCTCCAGTTTAAGTCCATTTTGTCATGGTCTACAGAGGGAGCACATCCAGGAAATTGGAGTTTCCAGAAGCGTAAGGACGGCTTCATCAGAGGTCAGAAACCTCACACAGAGACTTTTGAGGTCTTGATGGATGTGTAAATGTTCACTCTCTGAGTGCCTACGACTTTGGGACTTTATTCCAAAGGCAGTGGGGAGCCATCCAAGATTTTAAGCAGGAAAAGCAGCATGATCCTTATTGCTATAGCTACCTTGGTCACAGAAACCTTCAGGGTGACATAGTTCTCCCCTAAATATAGAAACCAACTTTATGAAGGAGCCTGGCAACAAGAAGAGGTGTCTCTTGTCTTTCTTTTTTCTTTCCATTGTGCATTTAGTATGCCCTTCTCGTGGGCCAGGGACTCTGACAAGAGCTAAGGAGACACAGAATATAAGTCTATGGCAGCGTTTCTTAGTCTTGGCACCCTGACAACGGGGGCTGGATAGTCACTTGTTGATGGGGGCTGTTCTGTGTATTGGAGGATGATGAACAGCACCCCTGGCCTCTATCCACTTAGAGGCAAGCAGTACCCCTGTCCTGACAACAACAACAACAAAAAATGCCTCCAGATAATTGCCAACGTCCTCTTGGCTGAGAGCACCTGGCCCAAGAGACATTCAGACACTGATATAGTCACCCCATTCACAGTCCAGGCTTCCTGGGGGAGGTGGCCCTGGCTTTGTTCTAAAGGGTGAGTAAGAGTTAGGTGGCCAAAGGACTTCCAGGAACAGCACTGAGCAAGGTGCAGGTGCGTGTGAGCAGCCACGAGACTTCATGGTGGCTGAGTAGTGGAAGGGAAAAGTGGACAGATAGGCGGAGGTCAGATCATGAAGAACCTCAGAGGTCAAGGCCAGTAATGAGACTGTCTGGAGGGGTGTGTGGGTGTCTAAGTCAGTTAAATGTCTGTCTTTGGCTCAGGTCATGATCCCATCGTCCTGGCTCACCTGGGAGTCTGCTTCTCTGCTTCTCCCTCTCCCTCTGCCACTCCACCTGCTCGAGCGCGCTCTCTCTCTCTCAAATAAATAAATCAAATCTTTAAAAAAAAAAAAAAAAAGAAGAAGAAGAAGAAGAACACTGGAACGGTGTTCTGTCAGCGGGGCTGGTCTCTGGGAAAGCATCTCAGCTCCGCCCTGGTGACCCACCTTCCATAATTTCCTGGAGTGTGACTCATTCCCTGTTCTGTTTAACTTACTGTGGGGCTGTTTCCTCTAAGGGACAGACAGTAACATCTGGCTTTGAATACCTCCAGTAGTGATAGGCGTGTAGCTGGTAATACCTGGGAGGTGCCTGCTCTCAGCCTGTCGGGAGTGAGCCACAGCTGATCTGGCCCCACGGGCCTCCTACACAAGTCTGGGAGCTGAGGTCAAAGCCCAGGGTTGTGGGTCTGTGAGTTAGCTGCTTGCTTTAACTCAGCAGCCCAGGGGAAGGATGATAACAGTAACAATGAGCGCTACCCTTGCCCATTTGTACCAGGCACCGCGCTAAGGGCAATCCACGTATTTTCCTTTACACTAACTCCAGTCTTCTGTGACCTCAAACGGCTGTCCTGAAAGTCGAATATTGTCTCTAGGAGGTGGGGGCTTGACTTCTACACCCCTGCGAGAAGGCTGGATTGAGCCACTCGCTTCCAGATAGAGTAGGGAGAGGGAAAGAACAGTAACCTGGCAGAGGTTGTCTCAACCAGGGAATGAGGGTTCATATCCTCAGGGATGTGAGATCCAAAGCACTTACCCCCTGCTCGGATGAGGCAAGAAGGTTCCCAAACCCATAACCCTAATTACGAGAAAACACCAGATGAACCCAGATTGGGGGCGGCGGGAGGGCATTGTCCTAGACATCCGGCTAATACCTCTCAAGACTGTCAAGGTCACGAACAATAAGGAAAGACCGAGAAACCTCACGGACCAGGGAGACGAGGGAGACAGGATGATGAGAGAGAACACAGTATTCTGAGTTACGTCTGGAAACACAGAGAACCCAAAAGGGGAAAGAAACCTTGGGGACACATGAGGCAATAATACGGTATAATGCTGATTCCTGAGTTGCGACATAGGTGGTGTGGTCATGGAAAATGCCACCACGACAGGAATCCGGGTGAAAGTCAGAAGGGGACCCTCTCTGCTCTCTCCACTTTTCTGTGATTCTTAAATTAAAAGTCAAGGGGAATAAGGGGCTACCCACCCCCTCTGGGGGGGGTGGTGGGAGGAGTTCTTCTGTTGTGTCAAGATAGTTAAGCGTTGTATGTGGATCGTTGACTGTGTTTGTATGGGGGGCAGAGCGTCAGCGTCTCTGAACCCCTGCACTGTTCAAGGGTGAAATGGACAGCTCTGCTGTTGGAACCACCCGGATTGCGGTATTTTGCGAGGCAGCCCTAGCTGACTAATACACCGCCTGGAGTTTTTGCAGTGACAAAAGCTGAGATTTAGAGGTGTTTCGTGGCCCTGAGGTAACCACATGGTCCCTGCCTTTAAGGGACCTGGAGCTCTCCAGGGGAGCCGAGGTCAGCCTCCAGCAAGGGTGAGAAATGGGATGAGGACGCAACAGGCAAAGGAGGCCACGTGAGAGAATGAGAAGGAGAGAAAGTGGCTGCCACCCAGAGGGCTGGGGCTGAGCCACGGGACTTACCAGAGCTCAGAAAGGGTTTGCCACAAAGGGGGCAGCTGGAGTGGCCAAGGAAGGTCCCTTGTGCCAGCTGGTGCCCATTGACACATTCCTTCTTCTCTCTAGCATCCTGACCCTTGTCCTTTAGAACCACTGGGCTCTTCCCCTGTGGGGGACAGAGGTGAACCTTAGAACGCCTCATGCATTCAGACCTACCTCGAATCATGGGGCTCCAGGGCTGGGGGAGTACTGAAAAACTGGAGAAAGTAGAGGGAGGTTGTCCCTGGCCCAGCCCCCTGACCTTCTCCTTCTGCCTGGTGACCCGACAACGTAGGGAGCTCAATCTGCGCTTTACCCTGGTGCTTCTGTTACTCCGCTCAATCTTGCTGGCGCCATCCTCGCTCCTAAGGGAAGGAAAGATGAACGAGGGGGGACAGCAGGGCCAGAGGGCCATTTTCAGCCTGTCCTGCCAATTGCTCCTGGACCCCACCTGGAATTTGTCTCCTCTCCGCCCCCCCCTAGTCCTATTTCTCTTCTGTGGTCTCTCAACTCTCTTCTTCTGCTTCTCACTTATTCACTCAACAAACATTTATGAATATTTGCAAAGTCCCAGGAACTATGGGGCTCGGTTTACAGAGGGAACTGCAATGTGGTCTCGAGCTTGGGGTCCCTCAGTGGGCAAGGCTGGATATCCTGGCTCTGTCCATTTCTGCCTCCTCCCTCTGATTCACCCCAACCCCTATATCTAATCAGCTTACAAATCTTACTCATTCTTCCTTTGGGATATCTCTCAAATCCTGCTCCCCTCTTTCCCCTAACACTCCAGCCCCAGATCACTGTCACGCCCCTCCTGGATTACTGGTACCCCCTCATTTAATAAATACAGTTGATCCTTAAACAACATAGAGGTTAGGGTCCCCAACCCCCTGCACAGTCACAAATCCATGTATAAATTCTGACTCCCCACAGTGTAACTACTGATCGCCTGCTGTTGATCAGAAGCCTTACTGATAACGTCTACAGTCAATGAACATGTATCCTATGTGTTATAGGTATTAGGTACTGGGTTCTAACAATAAAGTAAGCCAGAGAAAAGGGAATGTCATTAAGAAAATCATAAGGGAGAGAAAATATATTTACAGCCCTATATTCTATTTGTTGAAAAAAAAATTCACGTATCAGTGGACCCGTGTATTTCAAACCTGCATTGTTCAAGGATCAGCTGTATTCATTATAATATCAGCAGCCAACAAACCCAGCGCCTGTAGAACCTCTTCACTGGCGGGAGATCCCACCCCTCCAGGCTGCAGCCCCTGCCTGCCCCCAGCCCTGCCTGTGCTCCCCATCATCAGTCACTGAAGAATGGTGCTCCTTAATGTCACCGAGGTGATCTGGCCTCTGCTGACTTCCCTCCCCTTCCCTCTTCCCAGCCCCACCTGACACCATTCCTCAGGCCTTGCCCTTTCTCCAGGAAGGCGCCTCTTTATTTCCCCTATACTCCTCTCCATGGGTTGGCAAACTCCTACTCTTCCATTGAAGACCAGCTCAAGCCGTCACCTCCTCCAGGAAGTCTTCCTCTGCCTTCCCAGCATGCAAGAGGAGCCTCCCCAGGCCCCACCACCACCGTTGCCCTGGCAGTTCCAGGGAGGGGACTGGGCTCCACCTCCCGACCCCAGCTCAGGGCTGCGGGAAAGCGGGAAAGCGGGAAAGCGGGTGCAGATCAGTGCAAGCCCCAGCCCAAAGCGCCCCCCCTGTGGTAGCTCCGCACACTTACTCAGACAGGAACTCGAACCAGGTGAGGTTGGAGTGGGCTCCTCCGGGGCTGCCTGACAAGCGAGCCCTCTGCCGGGCCCTGCAGGGTCAGAGTGGACAGACCCCTGGGTCAGCGGCCTCTCCTTCCCCAGCTGCCCCATCTCCTGCCTTCTCTCTCCCCCCAGTGCCCCCTGGAGACCTCACCATCCCTCCCACTGTGTGCTCCCTCCATGGTCACTGTGACTGGTTTTCTAGCAGAAGGGGGCAACCCATCTTGGTCAGACAACATCGGCATGTCAGGAAGATTTTCTAGCAAATGGCCGTGTCTTGGGAAAGAGGCACCGTTTCTCATTTGTGCGAAGGTACGTCATGGCCTCGCTCCTTCCCGCCTCATGTCCCTTCTGCTTGCCCACATTAGTCCCTCCCCCCTACCCCTCCTGTCCTTGTTTCTCTCCCCTCTCTCCCTGTCTTCACGCCTTTCCCCCACCTGTCCACTCCTACACTGTACTGTCCCCCTCCGCTTCTCCCCCATACTTGTCCTCCGCATCTATCTTCCCACCCCTGCTCCCTCACACCTGTCCCTCTTCCCACTTACCCGTGGTACTGCCGAAGTTCTTGAAGCACCTGCTGGACAATCAGCCTGGGCAGGGGGCAGGGGGCAGTGTGGGTAAAAACAGCTCACAGGTGCCCCAGGTCATAGATGTGTTCCCCCAGACGAGCTATGATTGCCCAAACAGGCCCCCTGGTCCTGATGCAGACCCTGACTGGGAGACCCGACCCGTCCCCTGATGCTTTATTGAGAACCCTTCTGAGAGGCCTAGGTGTCTCCTCTGGGATAAGGATGGTGTGGGACAGAAGCCCTAGGTTATGGGGGGTTGGGGTGGGACCCCAGCCAGGACCCTGCGGCTGTCCCCTGGGTCCCCTCCCTACCGTCAGGGAGACACTCACACATGCTCAGGCTCCACGTGGTCCTTTTCCATGCACTCCAGCACCGGGGGCTCCAAACCTGGAAGCAGCCCCCACCCCAGGAGACACAGGCGTGAGGGGACTCTGGGGCAGACCAGCCCTGCCTGGGTCCCCAGTGACCCATCCGGCACAACTGGAGACCTTCCCGATGGGGCTGCTGTTCGGTGGGGAGAGGCACCAAGAGGGCAGAGAGCCAGTGTCGGGGGCGCACCCCTGGGTCTCAAGATGGTGGACAACGTGCCAAGGGCTTTGCTCGTGTACCCTGTGGACCCTCCAAGGAGCCCTAAGGAGATGTGTTTGTTGTTCCTTTCTTTATTTTCTTTTTAAGATTTACTTATTTATTTTATAGAGAGAGCGGGATGGGGAGGGGCAGAAGGAGAGAGAGAGAGAGAGAATCTCAAGCAGACTCCCAGCTGAGCGCAGGGCCAACCTGGGGCTCCATCTCATGACCCTGAGATCACGACCTGAAGCAAAATCAAGAGTCAGAGACTCAACAGACAGAGTCACTTGGGCACCCCTGATTCTTACAGAGAAAGCCGCAGACTCAGAGACTTACTGAAAAGTGGTAGCTTTGGGTTTATAGACTTCAGGTCCCTCTGAAAGCAGAGAGACACAAGCTGTTAGGACAGAGATCCAGAGATAAGGAGAGACATAAAGTAGGGGACAGAGGTAGAGACAGAAGATGAGCCCTAGGGTAGCAAAGGGATTGTAGTGGTGCAGTCCACCGGGGCTGGATGGGGGTGGGATGGGGAAAGGGAAGGGGAGAGGCAGGTGCTGGATGCCTCTCTCCCTTCACACGCCCCCAACCCCCACCCCAGGAATTCTGCCCAGTTCCTGCCCATGCCCCCTGCCCCCCCATGCCCAGTTCCTGCCCATGTCCCTGCCCCCCATCAGTAGGTCTTTCCTCTCTCAGGCCCATCTGGGGCCCCATCCAGGGACCCCCTTCAGCAGAAACCCCCACCCTTTTGGTTTGAATGCGGGAACCCTCCCCACCCCCCTGGCTGGGCTACCTTGAGCAGTTGGACTGGGCACGTCCAAAGCCGGAGAGATTTCCAGGGAGCTGATCTCATCGAAGGATGCGGGAACGGACCGTGACCTCACTCTTTTCTCAGGGCTGTCACATTCCTGCAGGGAATAAGCATCTCGCTAAGCTAGGGAGGCAGTGAGGGGGGCCGGCAAGCTCCCCAGTTGAAGGGTCCACAGCCACCACCTCCAGCCGCAGGTAGGGGCTCCGCTCAGCCCAGGGCACGGGGCTGGACCTCTGTAGCAGCAGCTGAAGCTTGGAGCCATACCTTCCCCAGCCATGGGTTGCAGTCCTGGCCAAGGACGTCCCCAGCTGTGGGCTGGAGCCCTAAAACTCTGAGCTCCAGATTCCAGCCCATCAGGGATTGCTCCCCCAGGTCATGGTCCTGGGCGAAGATGCCCCAGGCACAGGCTACAGCCCTTGAGGCTGGGATCGCAGACCTGAGACGAGATCTGCCAGGAGCGAGCGGGGCTTCCTTCTAGCTGCAAAGATGCCGAGACGATCTCCCTCAACCCCCGGATCATGGGGTGTACTTGTAACTGGGGATCCCCTCCTGTTGGCCCCCCACCCCAGCAAAGAACCCTCAGTCTGGGGCTGGACTCTCAGTACTCGAGGACTCCCTAATCTTGGGGTACCCCAAGGACAGCCCTGCTCTGACGGGTAAGTCCCACCAGCTACCGGTGAGGAGCTCCTTCCCATCCGCCACGCTGGCCCCTGGGCCCAGAGTTGTGCCACTATCAAGGTGGCTGGAGGCTGTACCCACCTTGCCTGGGTGCTCTACTGGGGTCGCACCCCCAGACAGACACTCCTGGGTCCAGGCCTGCAGGTCCTCTCCCGGCAGGTTCAGAGCAAGGCTGGCCAGCGTCCGAGGGAGACAGGGCCCCTCCTTCACAGCCGATGCCTCAGGGCTGAGCCTGGTGGAAGAAATGAGGAAGGCAGGTCTTCAGGGTGTCTCTTCTATCAGCAGTTGTCCCAGCACCAGCATCCAGGGGCCTGGGGGGACCCACAGGGTGATCCTTCTGGGGCAGGGAGGAGTGGTCAGAATCTGGAGGCGTGTTCGGTTCCCTCTATCACAGGGGTCATCGGGGGAGCCTTGCTGGGGAATTTGCAGGGAGATCCATGTCTTTGAATGGTGGACACATTTTGAACATCTTTGAATGGCAGAAAAATCAGATTGGATTTCTACTTGCAGTGAGTTGGGGAGGGTGTTAAGGGAGGCAGGTGGGGGCGGTCTGCCTCGGCCTCCTACTGAGTGTGGAATCAAGCACACGTCTGCGTTTTAATCACAAGTGCATCTGTGGGTCTGTCCACCCCCGCGTGCTCGTCGCACACGAAGGCTTTTCTGTATGGGTTGGATGGGGTGAGTGTGCGAGCCTGCAGGGCATGTGTGCACATTTGGGATTGTGCGTGCCCGCAGCATGAGCCCACAGTCTTCATTTTGGGGTGGCGTGTGCTTTCACTCAGAGTGCAGGTGCTGGCCTGCGCATGAGGACTGTGTGCCCGCAGGGGTGCGGCACTGCCCTGTCCTAGGGGTGTGTCACGGAAGGCTGTTGGCGAAACGCACTGACCTCTGCCAGCTCTCGGAGCAGCTCCGCGACCTCTCCCAGCTGCGTCTCCGAGGCAGGCCCTGGGACTTCGCGGAGCTGGACAAGGTCGATGCTCTTCCGGCCTCTTTGTTGGGGGGACCGCTGTCCCTGGCTTCCCCAGGCTGGCTGTGGGAAAAGGTCCCAAGGCCCAGATCCTGGAGATACTCACTGCACTGCAGGGCCCCCAAGTCCAGGCTGAGGTCCTCCATGCTGTCCCCAAGCTGCCCAGGCACACCATCCTCCTGTTGGCCGGTGTTGGGGGAGGGGAGAAGAAGGCATTGACCAATGACTGCAGACACCCCGGGCACCGAGTCCCTGCCCATCCCCCTCCTGTCCAAGTTGGGCTCAGCGCCCTGCTCCTGGCAGGTGGGGTGGAATAGGGGTAGTCCCCCCAGCACTCTGTCTAACCTGGGCCTTCAAGGCCTCATTCCTGAAAAGGGGCTGGAGGTCTGGGCTTCTACCCGAAGTAACCTCACTGCTGACATTCCCTCTAATGGGCTTGACCTCAGCCCTGCCCCTGACCTGGCTTGTTCAAGGTCTTCGAATGCAGCTGCGCAGGCCTAAGTTATTCTGGACGCTAATGCAGAATTTCAGGCCATTTCAGGTCTCCCAGTCATGTCCCTGGGCAGTGTGGGGCATCTTGGCAGGTCAGGACCCCGCCTCAGGCACAAACTCAGAGGGTGTGCCCTCACATTCAGGAATCCAGAACAATCAGGTTAGTGCCGTATGTTTTTTAAAGTCGGGTAATGCGAGGAGATCCACGCTGGGCCAACGAGTTACCAAAATGTTAAATAAGGACAGTATTGGACCCTGCGCTCTACCACTCACTTGGCTCCCGTCCACTGTTCCTGGCCCTGTTCCTTCCCACCCCAGAGCGCTTAAGCCATTCCCTTTCCCTCCTGGACAGGTAGGAGCTCAGGGGGCACATTACAAAAGGCTACAGGGTCAGCCGCCTCCACTTCTGGCCCCTCTGTAGCCTCAGACCGCCAGCAGTGTGCCAGGCCCCGTCAGACACTGAAGACACACAGATGTGGCTGACCACGTGGCAGCCACCAACCGCCAACACACTGCCACCCTGCCACCCCAAACTAAACAGGCCTTATCCTTATTGCCACAGTCACTCCACCATAAGGGGGCATTGTTAACCCACTTTCCGGATCAGAAGACTGAGGCTCAGGGAGGCAGGAAGACCCACCCTGGATCACAGGGCCAACCAACGGCAGAGCCGGACTCAAACTCAGGTCTGTTTGGATGCAAGCCCTATGCTCTTTCTCTCCTGTCTCTCTCCTTCTCCTATCCCTTTTCTCTTCTCTTGTGCCCTCCAAATCATTCTATTTGCCTTTTTTCCCCCTAGCCAGGGAACTTGCCTTTTCCTCTCCTTGGAAAACCTTTTCTCCCAGCCCACATACAGCTTGGCTGGAGAACTCCTATTCATCCTTCAAAAGCCAGCTTGGGCATGCCCTCCAGGCTGTCTTCCTGACTCCTTGAGACTAGGGTAAGATGTTCTTCCTCTGGGCTGTCGTGATCTGCTCCCTGGGGACTTTCCTTGTCCAGACCTTTGTTGGGACAGACCTCAGAGAGGATTTGGTGGGTAGGAGAGTGGGTGAGCCTCTCCCATTGCTCCCTGCAAAGCCAATACTGAGACGTGGCCCCAGGATGTCTGTGGTCTCAGGCAGCCCTCAATGGACTGTCCCAATTGGTGGCCTGAAGGGGCTACTGAGGGGATATGCCCCGCCATGGACTCTACAAAAGACCTACAAGAGGGGTGCCTGGCTGCCTCAGTTGGTAGAGCATGTGACTTTTTTTTAAGGTTTATTTATTTATTTTAGAAACAGAGAGAGAGAGAGAGAGAGAGAGAGAGAGAGAGAAAACATAGGTGAGTGCAGGGGGAGGAGCAGAGGGAGAGGGAGAGAGAGAATCTTAAGTAGACATCACACTGAGCACAGAGCCCAATGCAGGGCTGGATCCCAGCACCCTGAGATCATGAACTGAGCTGAAACCAAGAGTCGGATGCTTAACCGACTGAGCCACCCAGGAGTCCAAAGCATGCGACTCTTGATCTTGGGGTCATGAGTTCAAGGTCCATGTTGGGTGTAGAGATTACTTTAAAATAAATAAATAAATAAATAAATAAATAAATAAATAAATAAATAACTAGCTAGCTAGATAGGTGGTGATGTTAATAAATGTGATTTTCTTTTATTTTTTGTAAAGATTTTAAAAAAAACTTATTTATTTGACAGACAGAGATCACAAGTAGGCAGAGAGGCAGGCAGAGAGAGAGGGGGAAGCAGGCTCCCTGCTGAGCAGAGAGCCCGATGTGGGGCTCGATCCCAGGACCCTGAGATCATGACCTGAGCTGATGGCAGAGGCTTAACCCACTGAGCCACCCAGGCGCCCAATAAATGTGATTTTTAAAAACATCCTCTGGGGCACCTCTCCCTCTGTACCTCCCCCCAGTGTTGCTCTCTCTCTTTCAAATAAACAAATAAAGTCTTTAGGGGGAGCTCCTGGGTGGCTCAGTTGGTTAAGTGTCTGCCTTTGGCTCAGGTTATGGTCCCAGGGTCCTGGGATGAGGCGCTGTATCTGGCTCCCTGCTCAGCAAGGAGCCCGCTTCTCCCTCTCCCTCTGCCTCTCCCCTCACTTATGCTCTCTTTCTCTCTCTGTGTGTGTCAAATAAAGAAATAAAATCTTAAAAAAAAAACTTTAAAAAAAAATCCCTGGGATAGGATTGCCAGACAAAATACAGGATGACGGTTAAATTTGGATTTCGGATAAACAACAAGTACTTTTTTAGTGTAAGTAAATCCCAAAACATTGCACTATTTGACATTCGAATCTAACTGGGTGTCCTATCATTTTATTTGCTCCATCTTGCCACCCTACCCCTGGACCATTTGGCTAGGCAGGGCCTGTCCTTAGGTGAGGGAGGACAGGGAGGCCCCCTGCTAATGCTTGGCATGGGGGATTTACAGAGAAGCATCCAATGCAAAGTCGAAAATGCCAAGTGCTGGGTAAGAGGAGCTGTGCAGGATCCTGCTCCCCCTGCTCCCCTCCCACCTCGCTCCCTCGGAGCTCTCCACGGTTTTTACCGCTTCCTTCCTCTTTGTACCCATTTATCCTGCAATGGACGTGGGTTGCTTCCACGCTGGGTTGTTGTGAAGTGTGCTGTGAACATGGGCGTACAGAGAGCCCGTTCCAGTCCCTGCTTTCAATGCCTTTGGGTAGATACCGGGAAGGAGGATTGTTGGAGCTGCGGTAATTCTGGGTTTGACTTCCGGAGCACGTGCCGTACTGTTTGCATGACCTCTCTTTCTCTAGAATCTCTCCTTTGCACTGTTGATCCTTGTCCCTCCCACCTCCCTGGTTGCTCCTTCTCTGCCTCCGCATCCTCCCTCTGTCCTGTATATACCACGGTCCCTCTTCTTCCGTCTCTGGTCGCGGCTGGCTCAGGGTCGCCTGTCCCTCCTGTGACCCGGGCAGCAGCCTCCTGGAGGGTCTCCACTTCCCCCAAATCACTCCTGTCCCATCCCTGGTGCCTGGACAACCTCTATTGACTCCTGTCTCCTCTGCCACTGCCTGAAAGGTTTCCTTGTGTCTCTGGTTTTTATCCTTCTGTAAATATAAACATGTCAGGACAGCCTCTTGGCCTGGGCCGGGCCCCCCCTCTCCCTCTCCTGCATCTGGCCTCCCTCACCAGAGGCAGAAGTGGGAACCTGGCCAGAGCTGGGGGTGGCAGGGGTGGTGGGCAGTGGCGGGCACAGGCTGTCCTAGCTCCAGGAAGCAGGTACACTGAGGGAGGAAGGGGGAGGGGAGCCTCATCCTTTGCTGGGGACCCCAAATCTTTCCTCCAATGTGGCCTGGGTGAGAAAAGGCGGGAGCCGACCTAATGGGGGGCCTTTCCAGGCATCTGACTAAACAGTGTATTCTGACCCTGACACCCCAGAGAGGATGCAATAAATCCAGGCTCTTGCTGCATGGATCCTGGGGAGCCTTGGGGGATGGGCTCCACCTGTCAGACTCAGAGGCGAGATGTCCCAGGAATGCTCACTCTGCAGAAGGGCTTACTGGGTGCAGCATTGGGCAGTACATGGATAAACTGGTTTTTAAAAACGTGAATAGTTGTTTAGTTCATCGTCTATTAGCCAGCGTGGCACAACCAGGCAGCTTCGAGCATGTTGTTTCTCTGGTTCCGTTTAATCAGGTAAGAAAGAAGATCGGTATCGAACAGAAGAGCAAACGAATGACAGGGCAGATGGACCCTTAGGGGCTCGCAAGGTAGGAAAACCTCAGTCAAGGTTTGCATCCCTGGTATGACCTTTACTAGCTCAGCGTGACCTCAGGCAAATCCCAAGCCCTCTCTGGGTCTCAGTTTTCTCCTCTGAAAAATGGGTGCAAGGTTGCCTTCTTGTAGGAGTCCTTGCTGTGTGGGTACAGTGGGATGATGTGTGCACATCGCAAGCCCAGGGTCAGTGGAAGCAGATCTGACGGTGCTTGCTGTTCTTCTATTTCGGGGGTCAGGGCTCTCCCTCCGAGGGAGCCGTGGCTGTGTCAGATGCGGTCACACAGCCCATCCCCTGCCCTCCCAGAGCTAGGTGCAGGGGAGGGATGGTTTAACCCAGCCGTCATACTCAAGTATGATAGAATGTTCCAGAAAGCAGGCTGAAGAACTGAGCGGGGGCCGGGAGGGGGGCGGGCAGCAGGCTCTGTCTGAAGGGACAGGAGTTCTGGATTGGAATTTTACTTAGAAAATCCCTTCTAGGGGCACCTGGGTGGCTCAGTGGGTTAAATTCTCTGCCTTCGGCTCGGGTCATGATCCCAGAGTCCTGGGATCGAGCTCCGCATCGGGCTCTCTGCTCGGCGGGGAGCCTGCTTCCTCCTCTCTCTCTTTCTGCCTACCTCTCTGCCTACCTGTGATCTCTGTCCGTCAAATAAATAAATAAAATCTTTAAAAAAAAAAGAAAAAAGAAAAAAGAAAATCCCCTCTATTGTAAAGCACGAAACCCAGAGTAATCAAAGGTGTAAGAAACCTATTAAGTACAACTCAATTAGGAAAAGTTAGACAATCTTTAAACAGCTTCCATCACACAATAAAACCCAAAAAACCCAATTTCTGACCACATAAAATAGCATCCACATGACACGTAAGTGATCTCTTGAACTCGCCAAGTTTCACACATCAGTCACATTTCATATAGTTTAAAAAAGCTCTGCCATTTGGGGTGCCTGGCTGGCTCAGTCGGTAGAGTGCCGGACTCTTAATCTCAGGGTCATGAGTTCAAACACCACAATGGGCGTGGAGTCTACTTAAAAAAATAAGAAGAAAGAAAAGGAAAAAGAAAAGATCTACGTCTTACCAGTTAGGAGACCACAGACTTTCAAGAAGTCCTACTAGATGTAAAAAAGAAAGAAGGAAGGAGGGAAGGAAGGAAGGAACCAACCAGGGTGTCTTCCTGGAGGAGGCGACAGCCAGTGAAGCCTTGAGGAACAAATAGGAGTCAGCTAGGCAGAAGCTACAGGCAGGGGCATTCCAGGCATCAAAAGAACAGAGTGTTCAGAAGCCTGAAGGCTTGGGAGGTCCTGGTGATTTCCAAAAACTGGCAAGAGTTCTTTACTGGCTGGAGGGGTAGAGGGGGAACCCAGGCTGGATTAGCAGGCCTGGTGGTCGAGCAAGAATTTTTTCTTTTTTTTAAAGATTTTATTTATTTATTTGACACAGAGAGAGAGACAGCGAGAGAGGGGACACAAGTAGGGGGAGCGGGAGAGGGAGAATCAGGCTTCCCACTGAACAGGGAGCCTGATGCGGGGCTCGATCCCAGGACCCTGAGATCATGACCTGAGCCGAAGGCAGACGCTTAACCCACTGAGCCACCCAGGCACCCTGCGCTATATGCTTTAACTGTCCCAGACCCTCCTTCCTTAGTGTGGGGGGCAGTGCCAAACACCACCAACCCACTCCGGTAAAGACATGCCTCCCCGATGCGTGGAGGGGGGCTGCCTGCAGAGGGCTGTCAGCTGTCAGACCCCTGCCGGGAACTCACACCTCTTCCTGGGCCGCCCACAGGCCGCCACTGATTGATGTGGGGACCTAATTGTTTGCTCATCTCAGCCTGACTCGAGACCACTCCGCAGGGCTGCTGTAGCTCAGAGCTTCCCGTGGAAGCTTTTTCTTCCTGTTTCATCCACCCACCCAACCATCTAACCATCTTTCCTTCCTCCAGTCCATCCACCCATCCATAGATCCATCCCTCTGTCAATTCTTCCTTCTTCCATCCATCTGTTCAGCTGCCTTCCACTGATCTCTCCCTCCCTCCCCTTTTCCAAGAACGATTCCAGTCTCCTCTTCTATAAAATGGGATCATAACCACTCAGCCAAGTTTTAACGAGAGTTTTCTGAAAAAAATGCACGTAAGGTGCCTGGTTGAGTGCCTGTGTGTCACAAAGTGTACTTGCTGCCACCGGTGTCATCCGCTCTGGCCCATCTCCGCCATCGGACACCTGCCTGTGTATCCTCCATGCCGGGGAAGTCCGGGTGCTCGGGCCTCCAGGCTCTGCCGCTGCTCTCGGTGGCCGAGGCTGCAACTTCAGGGTCAAAGGGCTGGACGCATGGCTTGGGCTCGGACCCTGTGGAGAAAGGAGGCACCAGGTGTCAGGGCCAAGGTGGAAGGGCTGAGGAGTGGGGGTCTGAGTTTTGTATCTGCTGCTGCTCCACTGGGGCTGGGTCTTCTCATCTATAAGATGGGTTGGTGGAGGAAGATGGTCTTGATGACTTTTAAGCCAGCCTACATGCCATCACCTCCCTGTCCTGTGCCTGTGGCAGAGAGTTGTGTTCAATCATGAGGCTCTTTCCTGTGGATCCGTCACCCCCTTAGGATGTCCCCACCCCCCACCAGGGACAGCATCTCCAGCAGCTATCTCCAGTTAGTCAGAGGGGGCTCTTAAGATGACGCTGGTTGGTCATGCCTGCTCTGGCAAAGAAAAGCCCTCATTCAAAAGAGTGGGTCCTTGAGATCAAATTCAAGCACCCAGCGCCCACATTTGTAGGGTCTCTAATGGTGGGACTTCTGGCTACCTCTGCCCGATGCTGTATTTGGAGTTTCAGGGACCTCTTGGTGCCCTGGGATAGAGGAGAAAACCAGAGCTTTAGGGTCAAGCAGACTGTGTCCTTGTCTGGACCTGTCGCTAATGGTTGCCCACCCCTTGTGGAAGGCAGCTTGAGGCGCAGTTTCCTCACCCAGAAGGTGGGTGTGACGATGCCTTTCAGAGCTTTGCAGAGGGCGAAGGGGCCCAGCGTGTGTGGTCCCTGGCCAGTCTTGGCCATCTTTCTTGCTGTCTAGGTCAGGAGGTATCAAGTCTTGGACTGAGCCTCCTGCTGTGGGAGGAGTGGGTACCCCCTTTTCTCCCCCGCTGCTTCTTACAGCTCAGTGAGAGCAGTCACCCCTATTCAAATCCCTGCAGAGGTTCCTCATTGCCTGCAGGAAGAACACTGAGACTCTTGGCCCAGTCACCAAAGTCCCCCAGGATATTCCTTCTGTGCCTTGCGCCTGTTCCCGCAGGACTGTTGCATGAGACCCGTCCCCCCCATTCCTGCCCTGAGGCTGCCTGCCTCAAGACCTCACTCTATTTCTTCCAGAAATCTCTGTCCACCCCCCACCTACAGCGCCTCTCTCACGTGCATTTCATTTCACAGCGTTGCCTTGCCATCTGGACTCCCTTCACTCCTCCATCCCCGCTCAAGATATCCCAGGCTCTGCTGAAACCAGGGAGGGGACAGGAGAGTGCCTGGAGGAGAGGCTTGGGAGGTGGGTAGTGGTGGAGGAGAGGGGAGACCAGTGGAGGGATACATGGAGGGACGGACCAGACCAGCGAGTTCTTAACAGGCGCAATGGTGGCTTCAGGTGAGGCTGAGATGGGGTGGGGGAATGGGACGTCAGATGTTTTTTTAGATAGCTTGGGTCCCCTATGGCTAGGTCCTGGTTTGCTGGGGACAGTCCTACTTCACGCTGAGCCAGGGTGATTATGAACAACACCTCCTTTCATTCTCCAAAGGGTCTGGCAGAGGGGAAGATCAAGGGTGTCCCTTTATCCCAACAGGGCTGTCTGCACCTGCTCACGCCCCCTTTCCTCCTGGCTACGGACCTGCAAACACTGCTCCAAGTTCTGGGACCCTGAAACATACACAATCCGGAGGAGACTTCTTATGAATACAAAATTGCCAGGGCCTCTGAACCAGGACATCAGAAAATGGCCAAGGCAGAAATAAACACACTTCATGAATAGATGAGTGCCAAGGGATTAGGTGGGCACATGCACGTGTGCAAAAGCACCGGGACACAGGAAAACTATGTGGCAGTCACTTAAAAAAGAGAATCATAGAGCTCTCACGTGACCCAGCCATCCCATGCCTGGGCATATCCCCCAGGAAATAAAAATGTATGTCCGCCCAGAAGCTTATGAGCAGCATTATTTATAATAGTTAGAAGGTCAAGGTGGAAAAAACCCAGATATCCACCAATGGACGAATAGAGAGAGACACAAGATGTGGTGGAGACCTACAGTGGAACAGTATTCAGCCACGAAAACAAAGTTCTGACACCTGCTACAAGGTGGGGGGTCAACCTTGAAAACATTGTAAGTCAAGACGCCAGTTGACAAAGACCACATGTTGTGCGAGTCCCTCTATATAGACTGTCTAGGATAGGAGAATCTATAGACAGAGGAAGCAGATTCGTGGTTGCCTGAGGCTGTGGGGGGAATGCGGGGCGTGGAGGGACAGCTGGAAGATATGGATTTCTACTGGGGTGATGAGGATGTTCTAAAATGCTTTGTGGTGATGGTTGGGTAACACTTAATGTATTGGAAGTCATTGACTTGTACCCATTAAACGGATGAATCCTAGGATATGTGAATTCTTTCTCAATGGAATTGTTGCCCCCAAATATCGCCGGGGCCCCTTGCTGAATTTTGATTGGGTGGGTGCTTATGGCCTTCAGCTCCGTTTCTTTCAGGGTAGACGATGTCTGGGCCTGGCACCGTGTGTGAGAACGTCATTGCTTCCACCATCCCCGCTCTCCCAGCTCCCCTCCCAGGCTGACTGAGGGACTCTGCTCTGCTGTACCTCATTTAAGCCTTGTATCTCCCCCCCTTCCCCACCCTGAAGCCAAGGCAGCATCTATGACTCAGAGAAATGTCCGGACAAAACAAGCAGGCTGTAAAGGAGAAAAACCAGATGTGGGGGTGGGTCCAGGAGGCTGATGTGAGCCTGGAGGAGGAGGAGGAACTGGTTTGAGGGTCAGTCCCATCCTTTGGCCAAGCACGCCGGGGGTCTCAGGAAAGACCGAAGGGTCTGCCTTTTTCACTGGGCAGGGGTCTCCTGTAGGCCTGAGGCCTTGACAGCTTGTGGAAGCCACAGGCAGAACCTCAGACCTTGAATCTGCAAACCCTGGGGGTTTGGGATCTGCAGGCTGAAAGTGAAAGGCCAAGGATGAATTTACTCTTTCTGTGGAAGTTTCTGACCCAAGAACTGGCTGGGCTTGACTTTGATGATGTGCTCAACTCTCATCCTGGCATCTCATGCTGAACCCCAATCTTTGTTTCACAGACTATAAGCCCTGATGCCCAGGGTCATAGATTGGACTTTGATCCAGGTGTCATAGACTGAGCCCCATCCTGGTGTCATGGACTGAGCTCCAATCCCATTATCAGAGACTAAGCTCTGATCCCAATATCACAGACTGAGTCCCATCCTGGTGTCATGGACTAAGCAAGCCCCAATCCTAATATCATAGACTGAGTGCTGATCCTGGTGTCATAGACTGAGCTCCAACCCCAATACCAAAGACTGAGTCCCGTCTTGGGGTCATGGACTGAGCTCCGATCCCAATATCAGAGACTGGGCCCCATCTTGATGTCATGGACTGAGCCCCGGTCCCAGACTGAGCCTATCCTGGTGTCGTGGATGGAGCTCCAATTCCAATATCAGAGATTGAGCCCCATCTTGGTGTCATAGACTGAGCTCCAATCTTAATATCAAAGACTGAGCCCCATCCTGGTGTCATGGACTAAGCCCCAATCCTATCATAGATTGGTCCTGATCCTGGTGTCATAGACTAAGTTCCTATCCTAATGCCACATGTTGAACCCTGATGCTGCTCACAGACCGAGCTCTGGCTCTGATGTTGCACAGTGAGCTCTGGTTTTGGTTGAAGATTCTCTCCCCCCAGGCATTATTTCCAGTGGCCTCTGGTCTTGCTGCCTAGTATTCCCACCCATACCCCAACCTCAAGCTGTGAGGATCAAATTTGTTTTCTCTCCTCCTACTGTGACCCTAAAGCAGTGTGAATGCACTATCTTCCCAGTGACTGGCCAGAAACCTGGAGACCAGTCTTACCTGCTCACTACCCCTCAGGACACCAAGCCCTGTCAGTGTGACCTCCTGGACATTTCTCCATCCATCCTCTCTTCTTCTTTCCTCTGTCACTGTCTGAAATCAGCTCCCATTATTTCTGTCCCTACACAACCACAATTCTTACTGGGGTTTTCCCACACAATCATCAACCACAATTTTAACCACCCTGTTGCTCTGTGATTGGTTTACTTGTTCCCTTCTAGACCAGGAGTCCCATGGGCCAAATCTGGTTCAACATCTGATTTTATAAATAAGGCTTTATTAGCAGAAGTCATGCCTATTTGTGTATGCATGATCTATGGCAGATTTCATGCTATAACAGCAGAATTCAGTAATTGCATCAGAGTATGTGACCCACAAAGCTGAAAATATTTATTCTCTGGCCCTTTTCAGAAAAAAGTTTTTTGACCCCTGTTCCAGACCATGCGGTCCATGAGGGAAAATACTGTGTCTGTCCCACTTTTACATCTCCAAGCCCCAAGTAGTAAAATCTTAGGTGTATTGATCATTTCCTTTATGCCTTGCCTTCTGTTTAATCTGCCATATATTTTGCATTGTTCTATCCTAAAACAACCCCCAAGTCCCCACTTTACAAAAGAAGAAACTGAGGCTTAGAGACTTGCCCAAGGTCACACCATACTGGTAAGAGGAAGATTTGGGATGTGAACCCAGGGGTTTCCAACTCCAAAGCAGGGGTTTATGACCACCAGGCTATCTTGTGGTAAGCTGATGACTGGACAGGTGGGTGAATAAATGATTGGATGGATGGATGGATGAGTGGATGATTGGATGAGTGAGAGATTAAATTGTTGGATAGATGGATAGATGGATGGATGATTTGATAGTTGGCTAATGAGCTGGCTGGCTGGATGAATGGATAGTTGTCTGGCTGGATGGTTGGATGAATGAATGGGTGGCTGGCTGGCTGGATAGATAGTTAGATGGGTAGATACTTATATAAATGGATGGATGGATGGATGTTGGGATGCCTGAATGAATGGATGCTTGGATGGCTGGCTATGTGGATGGATGGATGCATAGAGGGTTAGATGGATGAATGGTTAGATGGGTGGATGGTTGGATGGATGGAAGAATGGGAGGATGGATGGATGGATGGATGGATGGATGGATGGATGGATGCGTTGATGGATGGATGGGTAGTTGGGATAGGTGGTGTGGCTGTGTTTAGAGGCAGTGAGGCATTAACTTCAGGAGACGGCATTCTGAGGGGATGAGGGGAAGACATGTAGATGGAAGGGGGGTAGAATAGAGTCAGAGAAGATAGACAAGAAGGAAACCGAGTTAAGACACAAAATGCATTCCTTACACATTCAGTGGGGGAACCTCACTGTAGGTCCCAACCACCCTCTCCTTAGCCTCGTTTGCTTCCTCGAATCCAATCCCGTCATTTTCCCAGGAAGTCCCATTAGGTGCCCAGATGACCATTTGCAGAGCTTTAGTGGGGTACAAAAACGCCCCTGCCTATCTGCCTCCCCACCCCCGAGGGCTAAAGACTGGAAGGACGTTGTTAGAAAAGACTCTGCTCCTCAGCACCATGCTTCACGCTGAGAAGCCTGGATTTAGGTCCCAGGCAGCCTCTTCCACCATCAGCCCCTGCAGCACCAGCCATAAAAGGGTGTAAGAGTCACTGATGGTTCCCTCAGCTCACTCCCCTACTTGTCAGCCTGTGAATCAGTCTCAGTCTGCCTGGGCTGGAATATGGGCTGGGCAGAGAGGCCAGGAGTGGGTGGAACTTCGTAAGGATCTGGGTCACAGATAAGCCCTTTGGTGGTCCTTGGTTGATGAGCTAGTTCTCTGGTATTGCCATCCACTGGTGGATTTATAAACCCTCCCCAGGCCCTCCAGCTGCCCACACTGGCAGCTTTGTTTGCTGGCTAGAGCACACCACAAAGGTAGCCTTGGAATAGAACTGTTCTTAAATCCTGGTTCCTCCAGCATGTGCTTGCTGTGGGACCTCGAGCAAGTCACTCAACCTCTCTGAACATCATGAGGGTTCAACACCTGACAGCAGCTCTCATCATTCTCACTACTGTTGCATCTCGATCTCCACACCACCCTCTCTCTTCCCAACCCAGCCTCCAGGGCCTCTGATACTCCCATCTCCTTCCTGACTCAAGCAGGGTGCCTGCTACCCATTTGGCCCTCAAACGGAGTCTGCGGGGAGAATGAGCTAAGGAATCTTCTCACTGGTCTCCCACCTTCACGGACACCCACCGCCACCCTGGACCAGTACTTGACTCATGCAGGTGGCAGTGGCTAGGACTTGTTGAGGCTGACCAGTGGGCTGGCCTGACTGGGGTGGGGGAGGGTTGTGCAAAGTTGGGAGGCACAGAGGGACAAGAATGTCCAGGAGGCTCCACGCCCTGTGGCCCCGGACACTGTCTGGCTATCTTCTTGCCTCGAGACTTAAGGAGAAGCGTCTATTTGCCAAAGCAATTCACCCACACCTTGGGGGATGTACTATGAGGGCCTCTTACCCCCATAGAGGTAAACTGAGGCCCTAGGACTTGGGAGGGGGTTGCCACCAGACAGTGTCTGTGTGTTCAAGGGAGGCATCTACCAGAACCCCTGGGAGTCTCCAAACTCCGTGAGCCTCCGTCCTGTAGCCATCCAGGAGCAAACAGCATCAGGAACGCCCAGGAAGTCACCGGGCTACCCAGACGGAGTTCTGGGGTGGATTCTCTTTCCACAAATTTTCTTCCTGAGACAAGGTCCTGGCTGAGCCTGGGGAGACTCCTCTGAAGTAAGAGGGACCGCAGAAGTCTGTGATGTTCTGTGGGTGCTAGGGGAGCTAGGGGTCATGGAATTTGGGGCTGGATCAGGCCGAGTCTGTGTCCCGGGCCAAGAAAAGGCTCCAGATTGTCCAGGGAGCCCTGCCTGCTAGTCACTGCCCGCCCCCTTACCTCTCTTGAAGGCCCACCGCTTCAGCCACAGCTTGGAGAGGGCTGGCCAGGAGTGGTTGAGCGCCGAGTTAGCCATGGGGGCCCATGCACACGAGAGTGTGGGTGAACAGCAAGGGGAGGAAGCCGGAGCTTGCCTGGGATTCCCTGCCAAGATGGGTCTGCCAGCAGGAGGGGCGGAGACTCTCGCCAGGGGCTGCCAGATGCATCAGCTGATCGGAGCTTGGGGCTAGGGCAGGGGGGCTGGGGTTTTGGGTTGGGGGCCCAGGGACTCTAGACTGGGGGGAGTCCAAGCCCTTAGTACAACCCCAACCCCTTCCTTGACCCATAAGCCTCTCACCCTGGCTAGACAAGACATTCCCAGGAGGAGCCAAAGATGGCAGTGTGAGTGGTGGTGACACTTGGGTCCTCAGAAAGCAAGTCTAGACTGGGTCCTGAGGTGAAACTGTGCGTACCTGAATGTCCGAGTGTTTGTGTGTGTGTGTGTGTGTGTGTGTGTGCACGCCATCGTCTGTGATTTTTTTGGGTTTGTGAGTTTGCACATAGAGTGTGTATTTTCATGTCTGTGAGTGTGTGTTTGAGAGCAAATCTTGAGTGCGAACTTGCCTGTGTGGGGGTGAATATGAACATCTAGGTGCCCCCCCACCAGTTTTATTGAGATATAATGAACACACGGCAGTATGTAAATTTAAGGCATACAGCACGATCTCACTAACCTGTGCTGTGAAACGATCACCACAAGTTTACTTAACACCCATCACCTCTTACAGATATGGAAAAAAAGATTCATCCCAAAAAAGGAAAAAAAATCTCTTTTTCCCCTTGTGATGAGAACTCTTAGGATCTATTCTCCTAGCAACTTCTCCCCTATACCACACAGCTGTGCCAGCGCTAGCCACCACGCCATGCGTTACATCCCCAGGACTTATTTATCTCCTAACTGGACGTTTGTCCCTTTTGATCCTCTTCCTCCAGTCCCCCTCCTCCCTGACCCCCTGCCCCTGGAAACCACAAATCTGATCTCTTTATCCGTGACTCTGGGTGCTGTTTGTAGATTCCACACTGAAATGGGATCATACAGTATTTGTCTTTCTCTGTCTGACTCATTTCACGTAGCAGAACGCCCTCCAAGTCCATCCATGTTGTCGCAAATGGCAGGATTTCCTTCCTTTTTCCAGCTGAATCTTGTTAAATGGGCATTAAATATGTATGTATGTGTATATATATATACGCCTGAATGCCCGTTGGCATCGCGGGGTTGGATCTACACGGCTCACCCGGGACGTGGGGGGATCTGTGTCCCATATCTGTGAAGGGTTCGGGTTCCTGCCTGGGTTTCTGTGTATCTGTGGGGTTGTGCGCCTGTGAGTTGGGTGTCTGGGCTGGGTGTGTGGTCGGGTGGGCGTGTGTCCCCGCGCAAGTCCGCGCCTGGCCATGCCAGCGCTGCCCCCTGGTGGCCGATCCTCTCTACTGCAGCCTCACTCCCTGTGCTGGGAAATTCTGCCTTTGTTCCCTGGGGACGCCCTCCTCTGCTCCCCAAATCCTTTCTGTGACCTCCCAGCCCCAAGCCGCTGTCCCTGGTGAGAGGATCAAGGCCTTCTCCTTCCTCGCATCCTGGCCCACCACCATCCCCTCGGAGGAGAAGGCTGTCACTCTTCTGTCTTCTGAGACCCTTCCCGAAGGTTTATCTGCAAGCCTACTATGGCAGCTGAAGCAAGGGTTTGCGATGGAGACAGGCTACGGGGACGGGGCAGGCTGACCATATTTTCCGAGCTCCTGGGGTGGGCTGGGCTCTGTGTTCAGATTTCACGTGCAAGGCCCGGGACAACCCTTTCACAGAGGAGCAAACAGGGCCAGAGTAGTGAAGTCCCTCGCCGGTGGCCACACGGAGTGACGGGGAGTCAGGATCTGAACCCACTCCTGGCCGACATAGCCATGCTGTCATTCCCCAGTGACAGTATCGAGCACCAGCCCGTGTCCAGCCATGCATCAGGTGCTGGGGGCCTGAGGGGACATGGGGAGCACTGCCCAGAGCAGACACACCAATGTGTGTGCAGCTGACATTCCCATGAAAAGCCTGCTTCTTCCAGGAAGCCCTCCCAGAGGGACTCCTAGTTGAGGCTAGAAAACCCACAGATGGCGGAGAATGGGGGCGGCTCTCCCTGGGCTGCACCGTCCTGCAGAACTGCAGGTGATCGGGCCCGCTGAACAGTCTGGAGAATCAGCCCCCTGAGTGTGGCATTCAAGGCTTTCCCCATATGCCCCCAGCCTGACTCACCAGCTCCACTCTCCCGGCCCCAGCTCTCCCCTCCCAGTTCTCTCCCTCCAGGCTGCTCCTGGGGCCTGCCAGACCCTCAGGTGCACAAAGCCTCCCACTAGCTGTGTGGCCCTGGGGAGGGGCCGGAAGCTGGTCTGGGTGTGCCCTGCGCAGACCGCAGCCTTCCGGCCCCTCCGCACCACCCCAGGGGGGCGGGTGTGAGGCTCCCCAAGGTGGGCCTCAGTGGGAGCCAGGGGGCGCCTTCTCGCGACCAGAGCTTGACTTGGAGGGCTGCCTGGAGGAGGGTCCTCCTCATCCTCAACTGACCTTGGAGGATTGGGGGGGCGCCCTCCTCAGGACTGGCTCTCAGACAGCAACCTAAGCAGGCAGTGTTTGTTGTGAAAGTCAGACATCTAAGCCCCAATCTACAGATTCTGCTTCAGGGGGCCCGGGGCGGCAGGGAGCCCCAGGGATCCAGTTTAGGAAGCGTGCCTGGGGACTCGGCACAGCGAGCACCCCTATTTGCACCCTGGCAGGATTCCCCCATGGAGGCTTTGGCTACAAGGAGCCCCATCTTTCTGTCTTGTGGGCTGCACGTGTCACGGACCCCAGCCCCCTGGGATGACCTCTGGGGGCACGCAGACCCCTGCAGGCCAATCCCCCAGTCAAACAGCCTTGCCCACCCACTCAGGGAGCAGGCTGGGCACCAGCTGGGGAGAAACCGTGGGTGGTCTGTCTGCTGCTCTGGGGACTCCCCCACTGCCCAGCCCCACCGCCACTCTCTGTGTTGATCCCTCTGTCCCCCACACCCCCGTGATGGTGACTCACCAGAGGGAGGCTTGTCCTCGCTGCTGTGGGTCCCCGGCCCGGCTACCAGCTCCTGCGGCCCCCAAGACCCGTGGCTAAGGTTTCCAGGAGGCCCAGGGGGAGCACTGGTGGGTCAGGGCCCCCAGGGGAACCGCAGGGTGACCTAACTCTGCCCCAACTTCCTCTTCCTCAACTGCCTGCCCGCCTGCTTGGCGTCTCTGCTGACCACAGCCATGCGCCCCGGCAGGGGGCCTGAGGACACAGCGCAGGCTGGGCTCCAGAAGCAGGGAGCCTCCCCCAGCACTCAGCCCAGACGCGCAGGTGTCTTGAGAGGTGGGGACGGGGTGCGGGGGGGAAGGGGGCGGGGAGCCTGGGCGCCCTCACCCCCACCCCAGCAGCTTCCTGTGGAACTGCCTGCCGGAGAGGAACAGGGTGCCAGGGCCTCACCAGGGTCCGCGGGGGCGCAGAAATGCGTGGGACATGCGAGCCGTGTGTATCCGCAGAGTCGCAGCTCTCAGACCCCTAGGAACCTGCACCGGCGTGTGTGTGGGTACACACATGAGTCCCCAAGGTGTTGCGGTAAATGTTTAATAATCACTTCTCTGCCTGCTCCCCTCCCCCGCCGCCCCAAAGAAGCCCTAATAGGTAACACTTGCCGACTCCTAGTCATGCTTCCTGTGCAGAGACATGGGTCCCCTGGTGGGTGGGTGCGTGGATACCTGTGGGTCCAGGTAGACGTGGGGTTATGCAGAGTGGTGTACCTGCAGAGACCCCCGGGGGCACGTGGGGCCCACCCAGGATCCTTTATGTTCAGAGAAGGGTGGGCACACTCGCACTCAGGGGTGTGACGGCGACGTTCTGAATGGGGACACGAGGAATCACACACAGGGGCACTTGGGAGTGCCCACTGGGAGGCCAGAGAGGAGACACAGAAAGGGAGAGCCAGCTGCCCCCCCCGCACCCCCCCCCCCCCCCCCCCCCCGCGGAGCCTATTGTAAGAGGATGGGGAGTTTCTCGGGCTGGGTGTTAGATGCTGCCGTCATAAACGTTCAATTATATCAACTTACAGTTGAAAAAATCATGTCAAGAACGAAAGTAATAACCCCTTAAACCCAACACCGTGTACTTAATGCCACTGAACTGTATGCTTAGAAATGGTTCAAATGGTAGATTTTATGTCGTGTATGGTGGACTCTAATAAAATGAAGAAACTCAGTCCTCCCTAATTATTTTGCTTCGTTTTTTCTTTTATCCATGTTCTTGAGGTTGTTTACAACTATTGCAGCTGCCTGGGGGGTGATACTGGACAGTGCATCCTTCCTAGCCCCGAGGTTGGTGACATCACGCTGGTACCTGGAAACGGGTCACCCTGAGAGGTAGTGACGCGGTGGCAAACGCCACAGAAACATACAAACACAGGACACATGCAGGACACAAGGAGACAGGGAAGCACACAGATTCACGGGCACAAGCCATTCTGTAACCACTGGTTACTTGTTGAATGCAACACACATTTATTGAGCACCTACTGTATACTGGGTCTTTTTGTAGACGGGGTGGGATGGTGCTGAGCAGGATGGACACAACCCCCTGCTCTGGAGGGCTGGAGGCAGGCTGTGAGGCAGGAAACAGACCCACCCCGTAATTAATTGCCGTGAAAGGAAGCAAATCTGGTGATGTGACAGAGAGTGGGTGGGGCGGAGGCTGCGTTTGCCCGTTTGCCCGGGGTGGCGGTGGGTGGGGAAGGCCCACAGGGAGCCAGGCGTGTAAATGAAGATCTGGGACATTCCATGGGACAGGAACTGCAGGGACAAAGGCCAGGGGGTAAGATTGAGCTTGGTGTGTTTGGGGGAATGCCTGCGTGGTGGGAGTGAGGCTGGAGGGGGACAGTCCTAGAGGGTGAGTCTGGGGGCTCAGACCTGCAGGACCTTGGCGTCCAGATTGGAAGCGTGATTGATGGGCGTCATCGGGGTAGGGGGGTGCTTATGCAGTGAATGAAGGGGCAAAGGTGGGGACAAGATGGCTCAGAGGGTGCAGAGCCCCAGAGACCCACCCAGATGCCATCACTTCGTGGTGCCAGGAGGGAGGGTGGGTTTAAAGGCTTTAGCCCTGGGAGGGGCTGCTCTCTGTCCCCGTCCCTCCCCTACCTCCATTTATCTCTGTCTCTTTTTCTGGGCTCCCCTGCCGGAATTTAAATTCTCTCAGGCCTCTTCCCTTTCCTGGCTCCCTGCTCTGCTTTCCTCTGGTGGTCCGATCGCTAGGGAATTCTCTCCTCTCAGTACGGGCTTCCCTGGCCCTCTGCGCCAGACCCCCTCCTCACTGCTCTCCTCCCACTACTGAGGTCCCGGCGACCTCCTCGAGGCTGACTATGCAAGTGTGTACCCCTGGCTCTCCCCCAGGGAGATCCCCCCCATCTGAACTACCCTTTTTCTGCTCTCCTTTGTGGTAAAATATCCATAACGTAAGATTTACTATTCTAACCATTTCTTTCTTTCTTTCTTTTTAAAAAATATTTTATTTATTTATTTGACAGACAGAGATCACAAGTAGGCAGAGAGGCAGGCAGAAAGAGGGGGGAAGCAGGCCCCCTGCTGAGCAGAGAGCCCGATGCGGGGGCTCCATCCCAGGACCCTGGGATCGTGACCTGAGCCAAAGGCAGAGGCTTTAACCCACTGAGCCACCAGGCGCCCCTCTAACCATTTCTAAGAGCACAGCTCAGTGGCATGAAGCACAGTGACACAGTTTTGTGCAACCATTCCCACCATCCGTCCCCAGAACTTTGTCACCTCCCCAAGGTGCGACACTGACTCCCCACCTCCTCCCCCTGGTGTCTACAATGGGACTTGCTGGGTCCCTGAATTTGCCATCTGGGTACCTCCTATGAGTGGAGTCAAACAATTTCTGTCTTTTTGTGTCTGGTTTATTTCACTGAGCCAATATGCCCTCAAGGCTCATCCACATTGCAGCAGGTGTGAGAATGCCTTTCCTTCTCCAGGCTGGATTACATCGCAGTGTGCGGATGGACACATTTTGGTTACCCATCCCTGTTGATGGACACTTAGGCTGTTTTCCACCTCTGGCCATCGTGAATAATGATGCCATGAACACGTGTGTGCAAACACCTGTTGGGATCCCTCATTCGAACCCATTTGGGTATATGCTGCTGGAGAGTTTTGACCCCAGAGGGAATGTACCCATCGTGCTTTTGGTATCACTGAAGTGGCCACTAGGGGGAAGTGCTTCTCCGCTGGCCAGCCCAAGAGCACAGAGAGAAAAAAGCCCCGGAAAAACAGGCTGGGATTGCAACACCGGCGGCCTAAGGGCGGGGCCATGACGCCAGTTAGCAAGGGACACCTGCCCGGGTTAAGTCTACTTTTCCTTCTCTCACTTTTGATGGAGATGTGGTTGAGTGAGCTATTTGCTGTGCTGCAGGAAAAAGAATTTCCAGATGGGCTAAAGGGCAATTGTTAAAAAAAAAAAAAAAAAAAAACTCACAACAAAAAAAAATGAAAAATTAAATTAAAAATTCAAATTAATTTTTTTACTTTTCGTGTTGAAAGTTTTTTTTTTTTCTTTTTTTTTTTAAATTATTTTCGTTTTTTTTTTTTTAAAGATTTTATTTATTTATTAATTTGACAAACAGAGATCACAAGTAGGCAGCGAGGCAGGCAGAGAGAGGAGAGGGGAGAAGCAGGCTCCCCGCTGAGCAGAGAGCCCAATGTGGGGCTCGATTCCAGGATCCTGGGATCATGACCTGAGCCGAAGGCAGAGGCTCCAACCCACTGAGCCACCCAGGCGCCCCATCTTTTTTTTTTTAAACTAAGAGAGGAAACTCAGAAGGCATGAATGACAAGACAGAAATATTTGAATATATATAAACTAACACAAATGTAGGGGGGAGATGTTATAAACAAAACCAATGAGTAAGGATCATTTAGTTGTCTGTGAAGGGTTAGTACCTTCATATAGAAAGGATTTCTGTACATTGATAAGAAAAAGACAAATAATGTAAATAGAAAACTGAGAAATTACATGAAGGCGTATTTCTCGAAACCAAGAGCCAAAGGACATATGAAAATATAGTTCTCGGGAGCCCAGAGAGTGTGAATTTCAGTAACAATGGCTGACACTTTACACCCAAGAGAGTGTCAATAACAACAGAAAAGACTGAGAATGTGTGTCTGCTTATCAGCTTATTGTAGAAGAAATTATAGGGGACATCAGAAAATTTGTGAAATTCTATGTATTTAATTTATCTATGATTTCCAATATTTCCTAAGATTGAGCTAAAATTTCCAAGCTGTCATAAAACATGTAAAAAATATGATAAAAACATGAAAAAATGATAACACTATTGCTGACAGAGATGCAGAGAAAAGAGTAGTGACATGTATTGTTGTACACAGATATTCGTCCACTTGCAACAGGGTTACATCCAGATAAACCCATCTTAAGTTGAAAATGTCATAAGTCAAGATGCATTTAATATATCAGGCACCTGGGTGGCTCAGTTGTTGGGCATCTCCCTTCAACTTGGGTCATGATCCCAGGGTCCTGGGATCAAGCCCCATGCCAGGCTCCTTGTTCGGCAGGGAGCCTGCTTCTCCCTCTCCCACTCTCCCTGCTTGTGTTCCCTCTCTCATTCTCTCTCTCTCTGTCAAATAAATGAATAAAATCTTAAAAAAATATATATATATAGATATATGTATATCTCTCTCTATATATATCTAAACTGTAAAATAGCATGACTTGGCTTGGCCTCCCTGACACATACACAGAACACTCACATTAGCCTACACTGGGCAAAATCATCGAACGTAAACCTATCTTATAATAAGATGTTGAATATCTCATGTAATTTATTGAATACTGTACTGAATGTGAAAACCGGAATGGTTATCAGTGTATCCATTAACACTGTTGTGCAGCCAATAATATATCGATGGCCTAAGTTTCTGATCCCGCGGCTGACAGGGAGCCTCAGCTCACGGCCACTGCCCAACATCATGGCAGGATCATACCCTATATGGCCAGTATGGGAAAAGATTAAAATTCCAAAAATCAAAGTACAGTCTTTACTGAAGGAATATCGCTTTCACACCATTACATAGTTGAAAATCTGTAAGTCGAACCACGTAAGTCAGGGACTGTCTGTATTTAGAAAGTCTTCCTTGGGCTCCTGGGTG